TCCACAAGGGAACAAAGAAGAAGCTGTGATCTGGCCAGATTGCCTTAATTAATGCACACTCTGGGCCCTTGCGCAGGAGTTGCTTCCACTGTTACTGGGTAAATGGCTACTACAGATCAACTCCCTTGTGTTCCCAGCCCGTCTGGGTCCCAAGGAAGTGTTCTGCAGCCAATGGTTGGGTGGAAAAGCTGGTTTTCTGAAGTATGGGGAGAGGGTGGTAGCACGTGGTTGGCCTTGGAAGCTAAGCAGGGTCAGGCATGAATAGCACTTGGACAGGAGACCACTAAGAAATGCAGGGGCTGTCAACGAGACAAGAAAATCAGAATAATGTCCCAGAAGATAACAGTGGGAAATCTCTCCTGTATGGTACCCAGAGAACTGCATGATCAAGTCCATAAAATCACTAGTTCCACGTTGCCTGGCCAAACTCCAAGCAATGGGGAACTAGTGATTCGAGTTGCTCCTGAATTGGAGTGGGCGGGCTGGGGGAATGAATTCCTTACATTCCCAAGAACAGAAGATGCCGTTGAAAAGGAGCGAATGGGTGAAAGGTGTAAATGGCTGCCGACAGCGTGGACGCCTTTGAAGATTAGCTGCGCCAAGGATTTGGGGCTGTATGAAAATGAGTCAGTCTGAGTTTCATTCCTTTCTGTAACACCTCAACAAGGTGGCCTTCCTTGCCCTTTCCCTTATCTATTTCTTTCTTCTCCCAATCCAGTTTCCCCTTCCCCAGCTTCACCCAATTTATTTTCCTTCAGGACAGCCAGTTGGGGAGGGAGGGTCAAAAAAAAAAGTCAAGATCCTCTGTGTAGTTGAAGCCGCACCGCTTTTTTACAAGCATCACATCTATAAAGAGGATGGGGCTTCGATTGCACAATCGTGACCATGTTCATGCTTTTCTTGACAACCTCCCCCCAGCAGATGCCCCCATTTTTCTTCTTTCTAGCTGGAAGGAGGAACGGAGGGTGCACTTCTGGGTGTTGGTGAGAAACTGGTTGGCATATGCAGACGCAGGAACAGCTGATTTTGGGAAAGCAATTATTGTGCTGTGAAGTAATGCACTGCTTTTGCCTTGGATCTGCTGGATGAGGATGGCTTTTTGTTGTATGCATGCACACACAAGCAAGTGTATCACACGCACGTGTCTATTGAGGCTGAGGCTCTGGGGTTGGTATCAGCTGGAGGTGGCAGGCCTAATTGGCCAATTGGGCTTTGCCCAGGAGTGTGTTCCATGTTGTATAGCTTTTTCTCTGTCTAGTCTTCCTAAATTAAGGATTGACTTCCTGTAGGGTAAGTTCACTAATAAACTGGCTGCCTGCATTTCCATGGATTGTCTTCTACGTTTCTACAGGTAGTCCTCACTTAACAACCACAATTGGGATTGGTGACTCTGTCGCTGTGTGACACGAAGTTAAGCGAGACATCATATGACAGGAATTTGTGATTTCACTGTCAGCTTCTCCATTGACTCTCCTTGTCAAAAGCTGGCTGTGAAGCACACAAATATTGATCACGTGATTGTGAGATGCGACTGTCATAAATACGCGCTGGTTACCAAGCGCCCGAATGTCATTCACATGACTGTGGGGATGCTGCCACAGCCGTAAGTGCAAGGACCAGTCATAAAGTTACTTTTTCAGTGCCGTCATAACTTCGAATGGTTGCTAAACAGAGCAGTCATTAAGTGAGGACTAGTATTGAATTTTGGATCATCACAATGACATTTATTACAAATAAGCAGGACATATGACTAGGTTTGTGTCAAGCCTATCAACACCAAGCGTTTGACAGTCATGAAGTATAAATTCAGCATCCCTCCGAACATTAAGAAATCAGGGTGAATTCTGGTGTGTGACATTTTTAACCTTATTTTCAATGTCACAGGCCAATACTCAACAGCTTTATCCATTTTCACATGTATGTGTGTGTCTGGGTCTACATCTTGATTAATAATCCACAGCCAGCTGGTCTGTTCAAAGTACTAAGCTATAAACCAGGGTTTACAAACATGAATCATCAAAGTCAAGCCACATTTCTGCCTCGTACAGTGTGCTAACCCTGTCTTTTTTTTTATGAGCATTTTGCCCTTTTTGAATTAGTGTCACCGTGTTGAGCATGATCTGTGTTGAGCATGTCTGCAGTTACAGAGCTGTCTCATTCGTAGCCTGAGCGATATCTGAACAGGGTTTTTCAACCTAGGTTTGTTGTGTGTGAGGCTTAACTGATTGTTACAAGGCATTTTATTTTACCTTTTAAAAACAGCTACATAACATTCTGCCTTGAGAATGTGAAGTCTGGAAAAGGTAGAAGAATAATTATGTTTACTATCTATTGAATAAAACATTTTTTAAAAATGCAGTATCTGGAAAAAGTACCAGATTGAGCGGTAAACCTCCTTCAACAGTGTTGTGTGTATTTGCTAAACCTAACTTCTAGTGAAGTCAAAAGTAAGCTTAATCATATTTATTTAGAGGTAAAAGCCTTTTGGGCTTGATGGAACATACTTTCAGGAAAACACGCAAAGGAGAACAGCCCTTGTGTCAATCACCTTCTAATCGATTATGCACGATGCTGGGTCACCAGCGATTAACTCTCTTCTGCATGAATTGATGCTAAAGAATAAACTTGGTCAAATGTGCAATGTGTATCTACACTTTTTTTTAAAAAGGAAATCTTTTGTTTATTGGCTTGCAGATTGCTTCTGAGGTGCAAAACTCTTCAAAGTTAGTGTTTGGCAAACCAAAGTTAGCTAAAAATAGCTCGCGTAACTATGAAAGCCAGTTGAAAACTCTGAGAGATCCTAGAGTCATTTTACAGTTATTGTTGATAGAATTTCAGAGTTCCAAGTTTGGAATGTGAATGACTTTCTGTTGAGCTAGCAGCTGTTCTCTGCCTGTTGGGATCTACAGCTTGCCTTCCCAGCTCTTAATAATTAAACAGAAGTGTTATTTTACAGCAACTCCTATTGAAGATTGTACTACATTTATTCTTTATCTAGATATTAGAGGCTTCTAGCAGCTTGGCCCAAAGCATGTTTTGGAAGGAAGGACTAATTAATTCAGGGCTATAATTCCATTCACACTTACCCGGGAGTAAATCCCATTGAATTTAGGCGGCTTTACTTTCAACTAGACTCATATAAGATAGCCCTCTTAGTTAACTTCACTTCTTAGTAAGCATAGATCCTTTTGAAACCCAAACTGCTTGGAGTTGTCTAGGATTTAATTGTTTTAATTGTTTTTTTAATTTATTTTTTTCCCTGTAACCTTCCTCATGAGCTATTCTGTAGGGTTTCCAGATTTCTTCTTATGAGTATTGTTTAAATTGCAGTCCTAAGTAAACTTAATTGGAAAGTAAATCTTGCTGGCCTTGGCACCTTTGTTCAAACATTGTGCTAAGCCAAGCTAAGCAAACCACTTTGTGGCCTGGTGAAATAATGTGAACCTTGGCATGGGAATCTGTCTCTAAGTAGACATGGCTGGGCCTAACTTCTTTTTAAAGAGAAAAGTAGGATAAAAATATTTTGAATGAAGGTTTAAAAGCCTACATCACGTTCCAATTTAAGTATAGTAAAGTAAACTCAAACATATACCTCCAGTAGGACAAGGACCACGTTACCAGAGTTCATGGCACTCGGATAAACCCTATTTGAAGCAGGCAGCTGTTTTTAAAGCTTTGAAAACGTTCCTGCTGAAGATGTTGGGAGGGAATTTGAAAAGATAAGGATCATGACTGAGCACATTTTACTACCAGGCTAATCGATGGAAAAGTCTTCTAGCATTTATTTTAAAGCCACATCATGGACAAAGATGGTCTCTTCTAGGATCAAGGTGAAAAGTTTGCTTAAAGGTCTAAAAGCAGAGGCCCAGAACTCCTGATTGGGGGAAGAGCACTAGTAACCAATGCAGAATTGATGTTATAAGGAGGTTCGCAGCATGGTACATGGGACGGTTAATACACCCCTAAATTTGGCCTGCAGAAACCTCATGAGATTTTCAGCATGCTGCAAAATTGTCTGAAGTCACAGGCATGAAGATGTTCTTAAGACAGACGTGGGCAACGTGTGGCCCTCTGGTTGTTGATGAACCACAATTCCCAGCAGCTGCAACAATTACCAGTAGTGAAGGATGCTGGGATCTGTAGTTTATCAGCATCCAGAAACTGTCTAAGAGTCCAGAGTGATGTAGTGATGAAGGTGTTGGAATGGAGAGACATAGGTTCAAGTCCACCTTCAGCCTGGAAGTGGGAGACTCTGGGCAACTGTCCTCTCTCCACTTGATTGTAACGGGGAAGGACTTGGAGACAATAGCAGTTTTGCTGATTTAAGCCCCTGGAAGAAAGACAGGATCTGAATCTAATGAATGCATAAGTAAGACGTAGGCACGACTGGCAGAATTTGGATTTGTAGAAAACAAAACAGTAGATTTTCTACATCCCTTTTCTATTCCATGTTTCCAGCATAGTATAACAGGCATGGATTTCAGTTGTGCTTCACATGAAAGGACCCAGGTCTGTGATTTTAAATACAGGTAGTTCCCAGTTTAAGAACGAGTTCCGTTCTCAAGGTCTGACCTTAAGTCGAATTTGTACGTAAGTCGAAACAGTATTATTGTATAATACTGTATAAGTAGTATTGTAGTAATTAACTGGAACCATTGTGTTATTTAATTACGTAATTATTGTGTTATTTAACTTGTAA